GAAGAAGAAGAAGAAGAAGAAGAAGAAGAAGAAGAAGAAGAAGAAGAAGAAGAAGAAGAAGAAGAAGAAGAAGAAGAAAAAGAAAAAGAAGAAGAAATCAGCTTTTGCAAGGACCCTAAACTGATAGTGTGTTTGATGTAATGAGAAATAGAAGATCAATATGGCATAAAAAGCAGCCAGCAAGGGGAAGAGTGACAGGACACAGAAGACAAGAAGGAAATTGAATATGCCTACCCACCATCTGGGGATCTTGTTAAAGTCGGGGTTCTGATTCAGTAGGCCCAATATGGGGCCTGAGATTCTACAGTCTTAACCTGTTCCCAGGTTAGGCCAATGCCACTGGTCCACCACAGACCACACTTTGAGTACTGAGAGTTTAGGCAACAGATTTTTTAAAACTCAGTTGAGAAAACTTTGGATGATCTTAAATAAGGACTTGCCTTGATCTGGTCATATTTTTTTAAACATTTTTATTAGCATGTATTAGTTGCATAGAGGAGATTCATTGTGACATTTCCGTATATGCTTACAATGTACCTTGGTTAGGTTGGCTGTTTATATTTTTAAAAACTTGCTCTGGCTGCAGTGTGAAGACTGGGTACGGGTAAGGATAAACACTAGACACCAGCTGGAAGGCAGCTGCAGGTGAAAGTGGCCCATACGGAAGGTGGCAGAGGCCTACATCTAGATAGTGGTAAGGAGGGCAAGTAGCTCATCTGTGAGCCTGGCTAGTCAAGTGGATGAAGGGGATGAGTTAAAGGCATGTCCAGCATGACTCCCAGGTCTAGGGCCTGAGTAACCAGCTGGTGTGATGCTGTTACTGAACTGGCCAAAGCTAGGGAGAGACGGAGCTTATAAAGAAAGCAGAGTTTCCATTTGGACATGTTAAGAGTGAAATGAAAGGATGGTTTGTTCCAGTGGAAATACTGAGTGAGATATATAAATCTTGAACTCAAGAGTACATTTAGGGCTAAAAATATAAATTTAGGAGCTGGACACCTGTGGCTCATACCTGTAATCCTGGGTACTCAGGAAGCAGAGATCAGGAGGATTGCAGTTCAAAGCCAGCCTGGGGAAGTAGTTCATGAGACCCTATCTTGAAAAATACCAGCACAAAACAGGGCTGGTGGAGTTGCTCAAGTGGTAAAACACCTGTCTAGCAAGCATGAGGTCCTAAGAGCAAACCCCAGTACTGCAATATATATATATTTATTTAGGAGCATGGTCTCAGTATTTTCAAAGCACAAGTTGGATGGGGTTGAGGAGAAAGCAAAGGAGATAAGGAAAAGGACTGAGGGTTGAGACTATGGGCCTCCAACATTCAGAGGTCATGAGATGATGAAGAGTCAGGAAAGAAGGCTGAGGAGGAGTTGCTAGAGAATTAAGAAAAGAATGAGAATAGTGTAGTAGGCCTAACAATGGGTCTGAAAGATGTCCACACCCTAATCTGCAGAACCTGTCCACACATGACCTTACATCGCAAAAGGGACTTTGAAGACACAATTAAGTTAAGAACCTTGGATTAGGAAGACTATGCTAGATGATCTCAGGTCCCAATCTAACCATTCCTGGAAAAGGCAGGCAGAAGGCATTAGAGAAAAGTTATAATGGAAGAAGAGGCACATGAGACGTGAAGCATGAGAGAGAGGGGTCTGGAGCCTCCTTTGCTGGCTTTAAAAATGGAGACCAGGAGAATTCTGTCCTCTGGTCAAAGCTTGCAATAGGAATAAACTGGAAAGGCGTGGGGGGACAGAAAAGAGATAAATAGAGGAGATGGAACATTCACTGCTATTATCCTTTGCAGGCACTTTTCTAGGCCCCAGGTAGCCAGAGTGAGCAAGACAGACAAAGCCAAGGAATGCAGGTGGCTGCTAGATGCTGGCAACAACCCTCAGCCCAGACATGGGACCTCAGTCTTACAACCACAAGGATTTAATTCTTCAACCTGAGTGAGTAAGGGAATGGTTTTCCCCTAGAACCTCTGGACTGGACACTCACCCTGCCACTGGGACAGTGGTAGATTTCTGACCTACAGAACTGTGAGATAATAAATACACAATGTTTGAAGCCACTAAATTTGTGGCAATTTGATTCATTTTTGCAACAATGGGCAATAAATACATGTGGCTTAAAAGTCAAAAGAAGTGTTCTAAGAAGGAGGGGCCATCAGCTGTGTAACAGGCTTCTGAAGGTTGAGTAAGAGGAAGACAGATGGGATGGAGTAACACAGAGTGTTGTCAACCTGACAAGCAGTTTCAGTGGAGAGGTGAGGTAAGAAACCACATGGGAGTGGGGTGAGGAACAAAAGGGAGGGTAAGGAAGTGGAAGCAGTGAGTACAGACAACTCTGATGTAAAGTTTTGTTGTAAAGAGAAGGGAGGGGATGGAGAAAGGTTGGAAGTTCATCCAGGAGTTTTGCTTTGTTTTAGCGGGAGACAGAGAGCATGTTTATTTGCTGAAGGAGTTGATCTTGTGGGGGGTGGGGTGGGGCATTCAGGAGCAAAGTCCTTGAAGGACAAGAGGGCCAAGGACCCAGAGCGCACACACACACAGAGGTCAATGGTGATGAAAGGAAGGATCTGGGGAAAAAGAAGATGAATGAATGCATGCTGAAGGCAGTTTGTAGTGTGTTGGTGGAAGGAACCATTTGGTGGCTTCTGTTTTGTCATCAAAATGACTGAAGTGAGGTCTTGTATTCCAGTGCAAGA